ATAATTATTCCACATAAAGGGAAAAAATTACCCTCAGTTAACAAAGCCTAGTGCTGCCTTGAGTCAATGGACTGGGATCACAGGATGATATTGAGGAGGAAGCAATCATCCTCTACATCAGTGTCTCTCACGTCGTATTTCAATTAAGATCATTGTAAAAGCCACTGCAAAGTGTAGCTCACAGCGTGCAGCCTACGGGAACAGCAAGAGCCAGGAGAGGACAATAAAGTCGGCAAAATGACAACACATGGATGGAACGGAAGTCTGCCACAAACACCAGCCCCACAGTCAGCAAGAACCTTCAAACCATCGCCAACTACAAAAAGCCTTCATGTCAACTTTGACCCATCTCAGCTGAATGAGATCAATGACATTTACTGCTGACTCCAAACACAAAAGTCCTTCCTAACACCAGGGTTTTCAAACCCCCACAACCCCTTCAAAGCTCCTCATCGCCTTTTATCTGCCTTCCATCATATGCTGCCAGCTGAAAGCCCTGAAGACTCACGTGGATGCATTGAAGCGCACCTCTGTACGAACAGCCCTGCATCAAACAGCACTGTCCCCAAACTCGTACACAGTACACTGTCATTAACGAATGCATCATGCTCCATCAGTTAGTAAACACTACACTTCCTATTACCATAAGTTGACTGGCCCCCATGCTTTCAGGCTGCCTTCCAACGTCACACGCCACATTTTCCCCCCTAATTCACAGCCTGTGCACTTTTGACCATGCCTGTGGAGATCCACCTCGCAAACACTCACAGTGTAAGGCCCTTCATTTTACATGGAAAGCTGTCCTCAGGGTGACTGATCCCGTCAATTTCTTACAAAGCAGCATCTCCAATGATCTCAAAGGGGATGAGACCACCAGAACCATGAAATACATAATATCAACTTTTCACAACTCATTCTGGTAGAATTAAGGCCACCTATCACAGCAAAATCATCGTCCTTTGCGATCTCATTCGGAATTACATCCCACAGACGCAGTCACGTAATGTGTGAATGACCTTCTCTGAAATGAGCCCCTCCCACAATAATGCGCAGGACTCTATGGCAAGGAAGCAACCAGCCAACCTGCCCCACCCCCACCCCACCATGTGTTCCAGGGATGTCTAGTGCTGGGTTCCATTTACCTTGGTGGTTGGAAGTCAGAGCCGGGAAGATAACTTGTTAGATTTAAGGTACCCCAGTTTAAATGGCCTTTATCTTCCTTCACTTACATTTAACCCAGACTACCTTAAATCTGACAAGTTATCCAGCTAAGCAAAAGATCCTGCTTTCTGAAACTGGGGCCTGTTTCAGAAAGCAGGATCTTTTGCTTAGCTGGATAACTTGTCAGATTTAAGGTAGTTCTAGTCAGATTCATTGTTAGCATTTTGCGCATACAAACACTGTAGCAACACGTCGGCAGATAACGGCTGGACAGTATTGTGTGTGTGACCGATAAAATGGAGCAGAAATAAGACACAAGGGCTAATAAGCAGTATATCACTACAGCTTTCACTTCGGTCGATAAACGGCGCAGCCATTTTGAATTCTGAAGTTAGGGATGAAGAGGTTCCTTCGACTTTCCGAGTCAGAATTCCAACCTCAGGGGGCGATACAGTTGAAATTTCCGGCTAAGAACTGGGAATTTAAGATTTCAGAGTTGAAATGGAACACAGCAGAGAAACTGGTGTAGGCTCATTTAAACCAGGACCAAAGCACAGAACCATAAAACTGCTCTGTAGTCCCCTAATCCATCGACCAATCATTATAAATTCAACATTGACATTGTTTTTTTTTTTTATACCTGAAATGGTACTAGATGACTGTTCATCCTTTAGACCACCTATCATGACATTTAACAGCCAAATGAGCTGTATTTATCTTGAGCAGGACCAAAGACACCAAGGCCAGTCCCTACAAACACTGGACAGATAAATCAGACTGTGATTCCACAGTTGTCACCATGTGAAGCAGGTCTGCCAGGCTTAGAGACGTCATTCAAGCTAAGAAGGGCTCAGCCCACACTGTGGGCACACATTTCTCAGTTACTCACCTGTGACAAGAGAATGAAGGGCTGGTTAATGCACTAGATCTGCAAAAGAATGGATGAACGAGGTAGAAGGGGGATTTCTGCTGTATCTTAGAACGAGACTCAACTTTTATATCGTATACAAACGTAAACAATGAAAAACAAATCAATACAAATTCCAGATTACCAAAATGAGTCTTTGTGTTCTCACATCGCATATATATGCATTGCAGATTAAAACATTTGGGTATAAATTTCTGCCCAATTCAAGATGAAGACAAAAAAAACAACAAAAAACCCTATGAACTAGCGGCACAGCTAGTTCTGCAGCTCCGATATCACCAGCCAATGGTTTATGTACATTAATTAAACCCAAACAGAAACAAACAGTTTGAAACAAGATGTTCAATTTGCCAGGAAGCCCCCCTCCTTGGGAGGAGAGAAGGGGCTGAGGCTGCCTTGGATGGAAGCCAGGTTTAAAATGCAAAATAATGAAGCGAAACCAAGCTAATGTGTCGTTTGAAACGTATAATTGTGACATTTCGCTAATCTCCGATTTATAAAAGCACCCCACTAAAAAGACTTAGACAAATACACAAAGCTCACGAGGGAACGGCGGAATGGGAATTTAGACTGCAGCAAAAAGTGGATTTACAACTTCTGTTTTTTGCAGGCCCTGAACAAAAGGAAAAGAAGACGAACGTCAGGGAGACTGACTAATTGCCGGGTTGTACCTGGAGTCATTATGCTTTTATCTGAAGGGACATGAAATCCGACACTTGTTCATGCTGTTTAATGGTTTACTCAGGGTTACGTCTTTGTTTGATTCAACCTCTGGAACCAGTAGGCTGCTGGTTATTAGCTAGAAGCCCACCAGAGGGTCCAGTTTATCCAAAAGAACCTTCAGGGAAATGAGACGCCCCCAACAGTCCAGGTGAAACTATGGTCTGGCGGGTTTGGAAGTCACATGACAGAAGAGTCACACTGTCAGTGAGCGAAACAGAGGCAGGAGAAGCTAATGGGCAAGCTGGGTAGGTAAGGCAAAGGGGGGCAGGGCTAAATCAGGCCATCTGCCTTCCCCCCCCCCCACTGAGTCAGGACCCAGTCTCTCTCTCTCTCTCTCTCTCTCTCTCTCACACACACACACACACACACCATCTCGCTCACAAGCTCCAAGTACATACTGTGGCCACACTGAGCACATCAGGGCTGATGGAGACCCCCACCTTAAAGAGGCGATTGTGAGGGACACACACCAGCCTATATGCCAGTTTGACGGGTGTAAAAACAAATAGGAAGAGTGACCTTTCTCCATTAAACCCAGAAGAGCACCCTCACCGGAGGCGGGCCCTCAAATTTAGGATGGTGGCAAAATCAAGCAAAGGCTGTAAAACGCTACTAGCAACAGAATCGAGGATCCACTGAAAGGCGGGGGCTGTCAATATTCATTTTCTGTAACGCAGAAATAAACACCCCAGCCAGAGGGCCATTTGTCCACTGAACTCAAAAATGAGATCCCCCCTCCCCACCCCAAACTGGGCAGGTCAGGGTCACCTCAACTTTCGACCCTTAAAAGCAGATGACTTGTTCTGGATACGTCACCCCTCGTTCCTTGACTTTGGACCAGTGTTAATTTTGACAGCAGATTTCAATTTAGTTTTAGTCATAGTCTTTTGACTAAAATGCAATTTTAGTTTTAGTCATATTTTAGTCATCTGTTTTGTTTTACTTTTAGTCTAGTTTTAGTCGACTAAAAAGCATAAGATTTTAGTCGACTAAATCTACTGTAGATTTAGTTGACTAAAATATATTGGGTTTAATTTAAATGTAATTTAGTTAAACTGTGGTAATATACAAAATATTCTAACTTAAAATGAAATAAAGCCAAGTCTTATTAAATATGTGGAATATCGTCTTTCCATAAAAACCAAAAATTAGATATGCATTGTTTAGAACTTGCATATGACATTCTTCATTCTGTAAAGCAAAAGTGCAACTCCAAATTATTTAAAAGAAAAACTGTATTTGGCAGTAATGCCATTGCAAATACTGCATGACCTGAAAAAATTACCTTGCAGATGTCGTTTTAGATTTGTTGTATTTTTACCAGCGATTTCCGCTCCACACGGTTTACACAAGGTCTTGTTTGTCTTGACATCAAACGTGAAATTATTCCATATACCTTCTCTTCTTTTTCTCCCAGCCATTGCCATGTCATTTTAGTTTAAGTCAGACAGACACCCACCAATGTATGCAAGATGTACTGTCGCATCTCGCGTCGCAAGGTGAATCAGTATCTTAATTTTCAAATGTGCGTGTGCGTCTTTCCGCGCCACGCACCAAGATTAATTCTGATTGGATCATTTCCAAAAACATCCCTCACTCACATTTTCGTCTCGTTTTTATTAGTTAACGAAAATGTCAATATATTTTTATTATAGTTTTCGTCATCATCACTTAACTAAATAAAAATTATCGTCTCGTTTTCGTCAGTGAAAATTTGTCGACGAAAATTATAACGAAAATATTTCGTCAACGAAATTATCACTGCTTTGGACTGCATTTCTGTGGTGGTAAGCGTAGGCCGTGCTTACTTGGCACCCCCATTCACACATCGCCTCCCGCTCTTGCGCCCGTCGATCCGCTGCACTAAACTTCGATCTTAAAAGGCCATCAGCTTCGGACACAAATACAGATGAAAAATAAAAGAAAAGGCTATTGCTGACTGTCTAGTCCTGCACTCGAGAAGGCGATTCCCCAGGAAGCCTTAAGATGACTTTCCTCATAAAAAGGAGGAAGCTACAAAAGGTCTCTCACACACACAGTCAAATTTGTCCTGGTGATTTTGTGGGGGGGACCTTTCCCTGCCCAAGAGAGGCTCTGCCGTGAACAAACCTCCCTGAAAGTGTGTGTGTGTGTGTGGGGGGGGGGGGGTTCCTCCTGGCTCCTCCCACCATGACGACAATTTGCTCACCTTTCTTCTTCAGAAAGGCTTTCCTGGTGCTCAGGGGACTCTGGCGGACTTTTTGGTTCAGCAGAAACTTCACAGCCGTCGCAACCTGTGGAAACCGAAGGGGGGGGAGGGAATTCATGTACATTATTCCCCAAAGATATCTGTGAAGTGGAAACGATTTGTGGGAAAACCAGGGACCAAAGACACAGGGTCTTCTCCCGAAATCGAGTGCACTCAACCTTCATCAAAATTAAAATAAATAAATGGCGGTGGTGGGCTGGGGGGGTCCCTGCACAGAGGCCGGCGGGGCGCTTCCTCCTGGGCACACTTCAGTGCACCCTGCTGTTAATCGCTTCCCCAATTGGACAGTGAGTTGCCATCCGTGGGAGAGCGACGAGCCTCACCCCCCTTTCCTGACAAAGCCACGAAATGAGTCGGCCCGAATCAGCCATTATAGAATTAGCCCATCGGGCTTTCCTGAACAAATGGAGTCTGGACTTTAATTTGCTATTACCCTCCTTAAGATAAATTCTCCACCTAAAGTGAGTGGGGAGAGAAAAATCTATACTTAATGCGAAAGTGCTCATCTGTATCTAATATCTGAAGAATACTCAGCTTAAAAAGTTCCCTAATTCGTCCCCTTAAATATATGCTGTGATCAAATCATAAAACCTGAACGCTGTAATGATTTTAAAAGTTAATGCACTAGAAAATTAAATAGCACCTGAATACCTGTAAGTTGTGAGTGCCCGGCAGTCATCGATTTGGGGGGGGGGATTCTATGAGAGACACCTTAACCTGCCACTTCACTGTGCTTCAAGAGGAAAAAAAAAAAAAAGTTTAAGCAGTGCTTCCTTGACGGCACACATGAAGCTGTGCTTCAGCAAAAAAGCCAAAGGCACATAAAACAGGAAACGGGGGTATGGGTCAACCCGCGGCTGATAGGGGGGCACAAACTCACCTGAAATTCCTGTAATCCCTCCCCAAAAGCCAATTACTGCCCTTTCGTTAAGTGACGCTAAAGAGATAGGAGGTCGTCCAGGGGCTAATCTGTTCCAAAGTGGCACATGCACTTTGGAGAGGGAATAGCAGCCAGATTTACCGTCATTTCGCTTTTTGTAGTTTTTATATCAGGGGTAACGATACCACAATGCATTGTTTAAGATTTGTCAAAGTTGTGCAGGGCTGCCATATAAGGAGCTATGATGCTACATACTATCAATCCAGTACGACACTGGGAGCAGGCTGCGGCCCAGTGCGGCCCAGCGCGGTACCACTCCATGCCCCCGGCCCGGAAGCTCGGAGGGTGAAATTCCGTGGCTGGTACAGTGATGCTGCTGTCGGGCCCTTAACCCCAATCGTACCGGGATGCTGGGCGGGTCTGCAGAGTCATTCCCATGCCTGCTATTACCAGTCTGTGTCACTCATACAGAGCAAGACGGGACAGGCAGAGAGACAATTTCCCCACAGCGATGAATAAAATATCACAATTCTACTCCACCTTTCCTAAGCGGCACAGCCTGCTGACAGCCGTCGTCACCACCATGCCAACAGAAGCCGGTCTCTCCTCCGCCATCTCGGAAGGTTCCAGCGTTTCCATGACATTACCACGACCTTTCAAGCTCACGAGGGTTACACAAGGGGTGTGGAGATTCCTGGATCTCGATATGCTGAGGGCTTATTAAAGCCAGTCACCTGGAACTGCCGTTGTGACAAGCCGATTAAAGCGTCACATCCCCCGGCGGACGGCTGCGCAGCAAAGTTACCGTAAAAAAAAAAAAAAAAAAAAAAGAATTTTCCCCCACTCAAGCTTTGATAATAGGATGATTCAAGTACTGCTTTGAGCGGTTTTCAATGAAATACAGTCCTTCTACTGATTCACTGTCTGAATAAACAAATTAGCAAGTGAGAACTATGAAAATGCCGGGAAAACTACTATATATATTTTTTTTTTTTAAACAGGCATATCAAAAGGCAAATAAACCGATATTGAGTAACACAAAAATTCATCTCAAATATCTGGAAACATGCGTCAGTAAGTCATGACAGCGAGGTCTGAAGAGGATGGAGAAATATTGAAGAAAGATAAAATTAAGCTCACAAAAAGTGATAGTTTGTCCGTCTATAACACAGTACACTTGTGGTTGATCAGTAGTAAAAAAAGTGTTTGATATTTTATCTGCTGTTAGGAGCAATACAACAAAATGAACACAGCCTCTTAAGTTCAAATGTTACAAAATGAAATGTAACAACTGCATATATAGGTTAGAGAAATTAATGCCATGATCAACTAACATGAAAAGTCAAAAGATGAAAACATTTCTGAGCCCTCCAAAAACATGTAGCTTTTGGTTTAAGATGAGCTCCTTCCTTCTGATGACACAGGTCTGGCCCGATGCGGTTTGCGAAAACAGTTTTCAGGTAAATATACAGTTTCTGTGTATTACTCTTACACTTCAGCTTTCAGGTTTTCACTTTAAACCTAAAATCGATGGTGACGCAGGACACATTCATTACCGCTTCCGCAATGACACAGCGAGCACGTTACAGCTGATGCACAAACGAGAGACAGGATCATTTTTAAAAAAAGGTGCTTTTCGAAGGAACCGATGACTTGTCAAAATTCTAGATTTTAAACAGGCAACGGGTTAGAGACGCTGCATAAGACAGATACTACAGAAACGACTGGAGTCCCGGGGTTCTGGTGCTCACCCACTCAGCGAGCCCAGCCGAGCCCAGCAGCAAGAAGATGGGTCCCAGTAAGCAGGCGCACAGCCATTGGCGGGAAGGGGTCACGTCTTTTCTTCTAGGGGAATGGTGGGGGTATTTCACTTTGGATAAGTTTTACCCAGACGCCTCAATCAATTATAACCACATTGCGCAGATTTTAGCCTCGTCTCCTTATTGGTGCACAGATCGTGGCCGTGCAGGTGCGAGCCTTGCACGAGCTTGTGCCCACATAAGTGTACGGGTGGCGTGCCTCACCTTTACGGTACCGGTCACCGTCTAACCTCCATTTTAACACGGGTGCGGAGGAAAAGCGGGGGGGCCCTCCATGCCGTGACCTACAAGCACCGACCAGGGCGTCCCGTCGGCCTGTAATGCTTCTTGTAAGTCGCTAATGCATCGTTTTAACTGATAATCTTTACAAACGAGATGAGAGGCCCAGCGTCAGCTGCAACTGAAAAGCGCAGGAGGCCGGATAGCGGGGAAGAGCACCGCAGACCTGGGGGCCAACCTGGGGGCACGACATCACACCCCTGCATAGCCATTATTATATCTGAATCACACTCCAATTTAAGGGTGCACTTACAAAACAGAATACACACAGAATTGGGGGGGGGTTAATTTAGTTTTTTTTTATGGAAGATGCATTGATGACATTACATGCTTCTATATTATCTTTCCTCATGTGGGAGATGCTCTCTCTTAAACGCTCAGTGTTACATTTTCATTTATTATATTCGCCAGGCCTAAGAGGCCTGCAGCCGTCCTCTTAGCCCCTCCCTCAAACGAACGGTTTGTCTAAGCTAATAATTACTATGGCGAGGGGAGCCACAGGAGACGCGCAGAAACACTCAAATTATGGCGAAATAAAACGATCTGACGTAATGGAAAACACATTATTGGAAACCAAGAGGATTCCCTGCCCTCCAGATTCTACTACTTAAAGCCGGTAAACGTGGTTAATACTGAAAGAGGACATATTTAAAACGAATTTCAAACAGTAAAATATGAAAGGGACGCTCGGAACCGGCACTACAAGCGCCACACATAAAAAGGGGGGGTTTGCAGACTGGGGATGGAGACCCAGAGTTTGACTGGTTTTATGATTTTATGGGTCAATGTGAATCATTTAGCCACGGGAAAGACGGAACAAACCGTTCATTTGGACTCATAAAAGCGTAAAACTAGTTTAGCTCCAATAAGAAGAAAGGCTGGGGAGGGTGGGGGGGGGGGGCAGATCAGACTGGCCTGTTTGGAGGGCCGCAGTTGTTATGGGCACCTACACAGGACCCTTAGTCACTCTGCCACCTGCTGGCCTCTGCTATTACTGCAACATCACAGGATGCCACAGGTAGGGCGCTGGGTTAAGGAGGGCAGCGGGAGCGAGTGTGGGACGGTCAGACTCGGTGCGAATCAATTCATTTCCAAGAGCCCTGTACATTTGTGGAAGAGCATCACTGATGTAATAAAGGGACTCACAGACACGGAGAATCACGTTAAGCCGGTCTCAGGTTCCTGCCAAACAATGGCTTAGAGGAGGGGCCAGAAAGAGGGAAAAGCAGGGAAAAATGAAGCTCTATTTTAATTAGCCGCTTGGCAAGTGATTTGATAAGAGGACCAGTGGCAGCGGATGGACTGAGCCCAACGGGGCCCGCAGCGGGGGCCCGAAGGCGGCACGGGGCTCTGATGTAATTAGACGTTTCCTTCCCAACCCCCAACAGTTTGATATACTGAATGGTGTTTTTAATCTTTTAAAACATACGTCTTTAAAATGCTTTTCTAATTATGACACCTCCTCTGCTCAAAAGGACATTGAGCTGAGGGAGACGCCTCCTGTGTGGGCCAGCAGCCGGTCCGAGAGAGAAGGAGAGACTCAGCAGGCCTTTCAGACCAGCTTGTGTCGTTCAGCAACCCAAAAATAAATGTTACAAGAAAAAATCACAAACACAGGACGGCCGACTCCAGAGGGTTACTCACTTAAATTACCACAAAAAGAAACCACACTTTAAACGTTAACATACCATTTACTGAACTTCAGTCCAGCACTTTCCCTCCTAGAAGCAGTATCAAAATAGGAGCTCATTTGCCCGCCCACCCCTCCCCGACCTATTTACCTGGTCAACATCAGTATCTGGACAGGAAGTCCCGCCCTCCTGAGAGCTGCAGCAGGTCGCCGGGGGAGGGGGCTCCAGCCGCAGACCCTGCAGCCCCACGACAGACAGCAGCGTCTCACGCCAGACCAGACAGAACCCCGACTTCAGGACTGGTGCTGCTGCGAATGAGCCCCCTGCCCATCTATGGCGAAAAGCTAAGAGCGCAGAGATCTGGGATTCCGGTGCCGCCCCCCCAGCCAACAGCAGCACGGCGCGCTGGCGATCG